AGCCGGGCACGCGTGCCGGGGGTTGCCGACCCCTGGTCTAAATGCTTAAGAGCAGTGTGGTACTGAGATAATGCCAGTGTTCCAGTTTGTTTTTTGTGCAATTAAAAAAACATAAATGTAGGTAAAAGGATCGCAACCCGTATAAAGTGTGTGCATTTTGGACTTGACATCCTAAGCTTTTCCAGCGCAGGCGCTGTTGTAAAGATAGATTTTGTGTTCTTTACAGCACTGCGGAATATGTTTTCACCATATAAATATTACAATAAATTCCATTAGAAGTATAATGAAATTGATTTACTGAAAAGTCAAGGCTTCTAATTCTTTCCCGCTCTGTCCAAAATGTTAAAAAAGATGAGTTGCAGTTTTGTAGAATTTTTAAGGCAACAGTAGAAATACATTCAGTGTAACAACAATAAAAAATAATACAATAACAATGGTTATTTCTAAAGGTGCACTAAAATTAACAAATTTTTAATTTTTTTTTAATGTATTCTATAAACTTTTTTTAAACTATATATTTTACTTTTAATTAAGTATTTTTATTTTTACTTTACTTTTAGTGGCTTCCTTGAAATATTAGGTATCTAAACAGACCCCTCATATTTCCCTTTTAAAATAGAAAAAGAGGTTGAGTCCTCAATCTCTTTTTCTGCATCCCCTGTTATCAATGAACAGGAAACCTCTATACTGAGTGTTCCTGTTCATTTAGAACATGAGGACAGAGTATGTTTATTATGTCCACAATCATGAATGAACAGGAGGTCATGTAGATCACTTACCATTCATTCATAATTGAGGATAAAGTAACCATACCATGTCCTCAATTAGGTACAAACACTCAGCAATCACTGAGTGTTTGTACCTGCCAGCTGTCACAGAAGGCTGAGCGGGGCGGTGCGGGAGGAGAACTCAGCCCCCTGTGACAGCAATGGCTGTCTCCACTAGTGATGAGCCGAACACTCCCGTGTTCGGTTCTAACTCGAACTTTCGAACATGGAAAAAGTTCTAACTCGAACTTAGAACTCAATGCAAGTCTATGGGGGTAGAACTCAGAAATTTAAATGTCCCCATTTTGAAGCCTTATATGCAATTTATTGGCCATAAAAAGTGTATGGGGATCCGGGTACTGCCCTGGGGGACATGTATCAATGAAAAAAACACTTTTAAAAAATACAATTTTTAAAGGAGCAGTGATTTAACATCACTTAAAATGAAACATTAAAAATTAAAAATTCCTTTAAATATGGTGCCTGGGGGGTCCCCTTTCACTGACCGTAAAGTGGCGCATCTGTATGATGTATAGAACCTGCTGAAGCAAAAATGACATTTATATACATTTTATTGATATTTATATTCACACTACATAGGGCCGCGGTGTCAGCAGCCTTATATAGTGTGCTGCAGGGACTTAGCTGTGAGACATGATTGGGCAGAGTCATCGTGACTTTGCCCAATCATGGCTCTACATTTGTACTGAGCCCTGATTGGCACAGTCTTGCACCTGACCTGCGGTCAGGTGCAAGACTGTAGCCAATTACCGTTTTCGGACGTTGCAGTGCATTGTGGGATGTGCCGGGGTCGAACAGACCGCGGACATCCCATAATGTTCGCGTTCGGCGAACGTTAGAACATGCAATGTTCGAGTCGAACCTATGGTCGACTCGAACATGCAGCCCATCCTTAGTCTCCACCCACACACCACTCTGCCAATCTGTGACAGGAGGCTGAGCGGTGCAGGGAGGAGAGACGCCGGCCGCTCACAGCGCTCTCCGCCTGTGCCATTTGCGGCCGATATGTTTTGGCGGCCTATATATCGGTGCATCCCTAGTTATTTCTCTTGTTATCCCTTCAACCGAGTTTGCATTTCATCTTTTTGAGAACAGACGTGCCCAGTTTTGGCTAAAATATTAACCTAAAATTCTTTGAAGTCAGCTGTAGTCTAGATTTTCCAGCTTCGCCCCTACCTTCTGTTTGCTCTTGATACAGCTAAAAAAACTGAAAGCCATGAGGGGCAGCTGCTGGTTAAACTTTCCTGTTATGACTGAGATGATAAACGGCAGGTTTGATTAAACTTTAATTTCAATAGATGCTAAATACTTTGTTGTTGGTTTACATATTACAGAATTCTTTTAGTTCAACAATACTGTACATTTTGCTCCATTAGTATTGAACACAAGCTGTATGCACTTCAAGCTGTTGGTTACAAACTATGGATTCCATGAAAACAAAGAGCTTTTTTTTTTTAAATTAGATTTGTAAAGGATTATTTTTAGGACTGTAAAAAGTAGAGCGGCGTAAATCTAACGCTGGTACACTTTTGTACAAAAATATATCATCAGAACATCTGATAATGCTATCCGACTTGACAAATGTTTGAAATTTCACATTCAGTTTGAATAGAGTTTCCTGAACAAATAGAACATTCACTGTTAGAATTTCATTTGTTTGAAAAAAAACATCCTGCTCCTTAGATTTTTTTTTCGGCTCTGCGGTTGAAAAGGGTTGTTGATTTAACCAAATTAACTATTAGTAAATCGACTGAATGTTTCAAAAATTTTTTTCTTCAAACACAATTCTTCCGATGTGTGGCCAGCTTAAAGGTTCATCTATCAGTGGAAGATAAGGTGATGCCTTTTTATCAGAAGCTGTTGTCTTTCACACAATTGTACAAACTTGTAGAACTAACATTGCACATACTTGATATTAATGACCCCAGTCAAAAGAATGTTGTTTACAGTAAACATGAGATGGACCTCACATTGCTCCAGGATTAAAGCCAAACTAGCATGTGACTTAAAGTTATATAACTATCCTTGCTAGGATGGAGAAGTAAAAGGTTGTAGAAGGTTCGGCATATTTACTTTTTTGAAGAATCTTCTGAGTTCTTCCCAGTATGCTCACATAACCAAACCCTGGACATTTGGTGTAGTAGTTCATGCCATTTTGTAATATTGCAGTATTCCTTAAAAAGAATACATTATTGCTAAACAAATCAGTATTTCTTTATTGAATTTGATCTTTTATTGTCATCTTCATGTTTGTCCTTTCTGCATGGCACATGAAATTTTAAAATGGGATGTGGTTATATTTCATTGTCGTTTCAAAACTTGGTAATGTGATTTCAAACAGCTAGATTATCGAAAGTACATTTTAAATTAGTTGTAACTTTCAAAAATAGAAGCACACAAGTGTTCCTAGACCTACAGTATATTTATTGTACTAGAGCAAGTATATGGATCTTTTTTCATTGAGATACTTTTTATTAATTTTCTTGAAACAGAACATGTCATAGTAGCAACTAGGGATGCACTGATATATCGGCCGCCAAAATATATTGGCCGCAAATTGCACTTTTGGCTAAATGCTGAAAGTGGCATTTTCCTGCCGATACATCTGCGCATCCCAGGTCTCTGTCCTCCCCGCTGGGCGCTGCTCTGTGTCCCGGCGGGGAGGAGAGAAAGCGACAGCCGGCCGAGTGCTGCGGGAGGAGAGCGCTGTGAGCGGCCGGTGTCTCTCCTCCTACACCGCTCAGCCACCTATCACAGTCTGACAGAGCGGTGTGGGGGCGGAGACAGCCCACGCTGTCACAGGAGGCTCTCCTCCCTGCTCCGCTCGCTCAGCCTCCTGTGACAGCTGTCAGAGATGTCAGCGGTACAAACACTCAGTGATCGCTGAGTGTTTGTAAATAATTGAGGGCATGGTATGGTTACTATATCCAGTCCCGGCGCTACCGCAAGGCAAGTCAGACGGCCGCCTTACGGCGCTGCAGGGTGAGGGCGGAAAAAACAGGACATTTTGCCCCGATGTTTGCACTATGTTTTTTTTTTCCACTTACCTTCGGTGCGGGAGAGCAGCGGCGAGTCAGCGCTGGTCTGGTGGGAGGAGCTCCAGGTGGGGTCCTAATTTAGCTGGCCGGCGACTGCCTGAGGATCCAGACACGCGCGGCACCTCAGGCAGTCGCCGGCCAGCTAAATTAGGACCC